TTTTTTTCTGTTTGAGCCATAAGTTTTCTGACAAAATTGATTCTATTCCTGATAAATTTTATTTGTCAGAAGAAATATCAAATTTTTCAAGAAGATAAATTATTATGTTGAAAATTGATATAAATCTGAAAAAATAATTTATTTCATTTCTTAAAAAAGTCATACAAAAGTGAATAAAGTCATGAAAAAGTTCTATAAATCTGAAAAGCAATTTATTGTGTCTCAGAAAAGTCATTCTAATCTAGAAAAAGTAATTTATTGCATCATTAAAAAGTCATTTAAATTTGACTGAGGTTATAATTTTTTCTGTTAAATTACAGATTAATTATTGTTGTTCTTACATAACTCTTCTCTATTTAAAGCCTGTTCTAAATCAAGTTTTTTCTATTAAAAGAGTTATATTAATATATTCATTGTTTCTATAAAAGGTGCAGTTTTGTAACAATAAGTTATATTTTTCTTCATCTAATCATGAGTTATAAGATAATGGTTGATTTCTACGCAAATAAAGAAAAATGCACTATTACTTTCAAAACAATTCATCGCCTTAGTATGGTAAATATATTTTACATTAAGTTCTAAATTTATAAATTTGTTTTGTGTTTTAGTAAAAACTTAATGATTTCATTTTTTTTTTTTTAATTTCAGCCACTTCCTACAGAATGGAAGTTTTTTCTTCTAAGATTCAGGCATCAAGTAAGAGTCTATGCTGGGAATAATGGCAGAGAAGATAGATTTTGGGAAGTAAGAGTCATAAGCATACCACAAGATACAGGGTATGGTGGTATGTTGGTTGATCGTGAATGGGAAAACTTCGTAGCTACTAACAACATAGTTCCTGGAGACAGACTTGATATTTACCATGATCGTGATACCATTTACATTAGAATTTTTAATGCTGATGGTACTGAAAAGCTTCCTAATGAAGCAGAAAATATTACCAATGTTTAAGTTTTTTAATATTAAGATTATGTTTGTAATAAATCTGATTTTATATCAGAAATAATAATATCTGTATCAGATATTAAACTATGATTTTCAGAAATAATAATATTTGTATCTGATTATAATATGTTGTTCATTGTTAATTATCTTTCAGGAATAAGATTATTTTTGTCATTTATTAAATTTGTTTTGTCATGAATTAAATTTTGTATGTCAGGTATTAAAATATTTTAATCAGGAATTAATTTGAATATTTCAGGAATTTGATTGTATATTTCAGGAAAAAAATTGTTTCAATCAGAAATTAGATTGAATATATCAGGAATAATATTATCTTTTTCATGTATTAAATTTTTTTGACCAGGTATTACTTTATTTAGATCAGGAATAAGATTATCTAGGACAGGTATTATACTATTTAAGTCAGCTGTTGCATTTCTATGTCAGGAAATTATTTATGTTAGTAATTAAAATATTTAGCTCAGGAATAAAGATATTTTTATTTTATACTAAATAGACAAGTAATAAATTTTAAAATAACAAAGTATGTACGTACCTGATTCATTCTCATCCCATATCCTTGATTTAGCAAGCTTGGTCCAACGTTTCAGAATGTATCTCTCTGGTATAGAATGTATGCTATACATTTGCATTATCTTGATAATGTGAAAGCACAGCAATCCAGTCTCTGTGAAGCACATACAAGAACACATAAATTCATTGTTTTGACAGTGATATATGACTTGATAGGTGTGCATATAATCTTCATCAAGAGAAACATCAAAGAATTTGACGTATTGCATTGAAGTTGGCTTTTCCTTTGCATATGCTCCTAGGCTAGTCTCAAATTCCAACTTAAAATCCTTTTATAAGTTCAAAGTATAAACTTCAGCAACATGTTTTAAGATTTTTGTTTTTGTTTTTGGTTTCTCAGTAGTACATCTGAAGTTGTCACTCTTTTCAGTGCTTCTCCATCTTCTCACAGTAGCTTCAAATATATGGAAGAACTCCAAAAGTTTAGTGGTTCTGTTGGCCTTAAATGAAATTGCTCTGTTTGTTACTTCTACTCTTTGAGATGAAAGGATTCCCGCAGAGAAAATATCTTTGCTCAAAGCAGTGCACCATTTTTCTCGTAGCCCGAACAACCTATCAAACCACTCTTTTTTTTCTAATCCATATTTTTGAACCATCTTGTTCCAGACATCTTCGAATTCTGATTCTGAATCACAGCCACTTAAGCACTTGTGAAACATATTCTTGAATTCAGGGTTGTTTTTTAAAGTTCCAAAGTGTGATACAAAATTCTTTTGCAAATGTCATAGACATAGTCTATGTCTTGAATTTGGATAAACCTACAACAATCAAATAATTTCATTTTATAGTCAGATATTAGATAAATAATGGAAGAAATTAATAAAATTTTGTCAAGAATTAAAGAGTCAAAGTTAGATATTATATAACTCAAGTCAGTTATTAATCTATTTTTGTCAGGAATAACAATTTACTACTCAGGAATTAAAGTGTTTTAATTACATATTAATAAAATAATGTCAATTATATATTTATTTTCTTCAACAATTACAGAACAATTTGATATATTTTTATCAGTGTTTAGATTATATTTATCAGGAATTACATGATATTCATTAGGAATTAGCAAAGTTATATTCATTATTTAGACAACATAAATCAAATAATTTCATTATATAGTCAGATATTAGATATATAATGGCAGCCATTAATAAATTTTTGTCAGGTATTAATGAGTCAAAGTTAGATATTATATAACTCACGTCAGTTATTAATCTATTTTTGTCAGGCATAACAATTTATTAGTCAGGAATTAAAGTGGTTTAGTCAGATATTAGTAGTTTCTTCAGGGATAACATTTTTTAATACAGAAATTAGGACATTTTGTTCATATATTAGATAACTTATAAACAAATAATGTCAATTATATATTTATTTTCTTCAACAATTATAGAATAATTTGATTTATTTTTATCAGTTTTTAGAAAATATTTTTCAGAAATTACATTATATTCATTAGGAATTAGCAAAGTTATAGTCATTACTTAGACAACATAAATCAAATAATTTCATTATATAGTCAGATATTAGATATATAATGGCAGTAATAAACAAATTTTTGTCAGGCATAGCAATTTATTAGTCAGGAAATAGAGTTGTTTTACTAGTGTTTGATTTTACTTAGAATTGCTTTCAGTACTTTGTGATTTGGATAAAGATATTTAAAATAAATAAATTTAACATTAAGATATTTATCAACACTTTTGGATAAAGATGACAAAAATGTAAGAATAAGAATTATTCGTAGAAAATTATTCTAAAAGTAAAATATTTTTTTAATCTCTTATATTTGTCTATAAAACCAAGAATTGGTCATACATTTTGCATGTTTGTGTTCCTGTATATTCTCTCTCCTAAAACACTCTTTTTCTTTTTTCCTCAAATGTGGAAAACAATTCTCAGTCTTCTACTTTATCAAACGATCCAGAAGAAAATGTTTTTGATAACTTTGAAAAGAGATTAAATGATCTACTTGAGAGAAGAGACAGAGTGAAGAATGGGTTGATGAAGCTGTATGAAAAAGTTGAGAAGAACAAAATCGAAGAACTGAGTAAGAGAAAGAGGGTTGAAGAAAAATTTCAGGAAGAACAAAACAAAAAAAAGAAAGAAGACGATCAACAAAAGAAGAAACAAGAAGAAGAAAAAGAAAATCAAAAGAAAATCAAAAGAAAAAACAAGTTTAAAGTCTCAAGAAGATGATTAAGATTATAGGGTTTTGTTTTGTTTTTTTTGTTTTTTGATATATTAGATTTTTCGAAATAGTATATGAAATCAAAGTAATGTACTTTGATTTTATTTTGGTTTCTCATGTATTGTCTTTTTTTTCCATAAAATACTTGTTGGACAAAAATTAGTATATTTAAATTTTCATATAATAGGTTTTTTTTTTGTCAATAATTATAATATTATTATTTGGGCACATAAAAAGCCGGGAAATGATGTATTGATTAATTTAAAATTAAATTACTTTGAAAAATGCACAGTAAAAACTGATATAAATAAAGTATTTTAAAGTCATACTCCCAAAAAAACATTATATTCCCAAAAAAATCTATATACCCTTTCATATTTCTCTTCTGTTTGTTAAAAAAAACCATTCATTTCTAGTTTTTCAACAAATGATGTTTAGCAATTTTGTTCAATTTTATTCAGATATTAGATTAATAATGTCAATTATAATAATATATATTTAGTTAAATAATAGATTTAAATTTTCATATAATGGTTTAAATTTATCAGAAATTAGAAATATAAACAGTAATTATATAACAATAGTTTATGTTAGGACTGAGTATTATTACGTGGGCAGATAAAAAGTCAGGAAATGGTGAATTGATTGATTTAGAATTTAATTACTTGGGAAAATGCGCAGTGAAAACTGATATAAATAAAGTATTTCAAACATCATACTCTCAAAAAAATCTATACACCCTTTCATATATATCTTCAGTTTGTTAAAAAAAACCATCCATTTCCAGTTTTTCAACAAAGAATATTTATCAGTTTTGTTCAATTTTTATTCGAATTCAAGTATATTGTAAGATTTGTAACGTAGTATTTCAAATGGATTCAATAGACGACCCTCATTACATGGCTGCTCTAGAGGATGCTCCACATGCATTATCTGTTCCTGAAATCTTATGCATGTATATTTTTCCTAAATGCACCCCTCGTGCGCAAGCGATGTGTAATTGTGTTTGTAAGCATTGGAATGAATTATGGTACTTAAATACTTGGATTCCTCATGTAGTTAGATATAGGCAGGCCAGTGAAAGGTGGTGGCTTGCAACTGATATTATGAGGCATAATGGATATGGCTTTCATAATTCAATGGTTCAAGATTGGGCTGAATTTCTGGATGGGTTGCGATGGCTATTTAGGGATGAGGAAGATATGTGGAGTAAGAAAAGAAAGAGAGAGGAAGCTATTCAACCTGGAGGGCCGCATAAAAAGGTTAGGCTAGCTTAAATGCCCTGTAAATATGTTTTTCTTTAATTAAAAAGCAATGTTTTGTATAGAATTGTTATGATCATATATAGTTAAAGTGACAGTGTTCATTTGCTTTTGTAAGGCATTGTCATAAGTATGACAAAATATTATGAAGAAATATATACTAATTTGGACTTATGTTTTTATTTTTGTTAATTTTCTTTTACGTACATAATGTTTGTGAATGAAAAAACACTTCTGAATAATTGCACTATATTATCTCAATAAGGAATATAATTCTTTCGTTCAGAAATTAGATTAATTTCATCAGGAACAGTTTTATTTTTGTCTGGAATTATAATAATTTATGCAGGAATTAACATGCTTTTTTAATCATGAATAATATTTTTTCTTTCAGTATTATTTTTATTTTACTCAGTTATTATATTATTTATGGCAGGAATCAAATCATATTTCTTAGAAATTATTTTTGTTTTCATATTTTATAGTCAGATATTAGATAATTTTTGACAGATAATCTCGAAATTGTAAAATTTAATTCAGTTTTCATATTTTATAGTCAGATATTAGATAATTTTTTACAAATAATCTCGAAATTTTAGTCAGGAATAAAAGAGTAACAGTCATATATTATATATTTAACATTAGTTATTCTTCTATTTTTGTCAGGCATAATAATATAGTAGTCAGCATTTAAAGTATTATAGTCAGATAATAAATTAGTAGTTTCATATAATAGGAATTAAGGTGATTTAAGTTATTCCATTGTATTAAAAATCAGAAATAATATTATTTCTTTCACGATTATTATATTTTTACTCAGGTATTATATTATTTAGGGCAGGAAATAAATCATATCTCTCAGAAAATTATTTTTGTTTTGTTTTTCTAAGGAATGATAAAATTTTATTCAGCTATTCTTATATTAAAGTCAGATATAAAATGATTCTAGACATATATTACTATATTTTAGACAGGAGTTAAATATTTTCAGACTTTAATTAGTGTTATTTGATTTATGTCAGTTATTAATCTCTTTTTGTCAGGAATAATAATATGTTAGTCAGTTTTTAGATTATTTTGATCAGAAATTGCATGAAATTCATAAGGAATAACATGATATTCAAATAGTTTCTTCTTATAGTCAGATATTAGATAAGTAATTGCAGTAATTAATATATTTTTGTCAGGTATTATAGAGTCAAAGTCAGATATTATATATATCATGTCAGTTATTAATCTATTTTTGTCAGGCATAACAATTTGTTAGTCAGGAATTAAAGTGTTTTAATTACATATTAAATATATAATGTCAATTATAAAATTTATTTTCTTCATCAGTTTTAATACTATTTTCATCAGATATTACATGATATTTATTAGGTATTAGTAAAGTTATAGTCAATACTTAGACAGAAATCAAATAATTTCATTTTACAGTCAGATATTATATAAATCATGGCAGTAATTGACATATTTATGTCAGGTATTAAAGAGTTAAAGTAAGATATTATATAACTCCATTAGTTTTTAATTTATTTTTGTGATGCATAACAGTTTATTAGTCAGGTATTAAAATGTATAAATTAGATATAAAGTTTTAGTTATCTATTCGTATATTATGGTCAGATATAAAATAATTATTGTCAGATATAACAATATTTTAGTCAGGATTTAAATATTTCAGATTTTAATTATAGTTTATTATTTGATAATTTTAACTCAGAAATACATATAACTTAGACAGGAATTAGAAAATATCAGTCAGATATAATGTGTTTTATATTAGTCATTGATTGATTTAAGTCAGGCTTAATACTTTTTCCAGGTAAAACATTATAAAAATTCAAGATTATTTTATTTGATACAAAACATATCCCAATATAAAATACAAATACAAATATTAAGCTGAAAATGCTTACCTCTGGTATGGCGTTGCTCATTGCAAGATCTTGATCAGTGAAGATTGATTTTGGTTCAATTCCACACATTGACTTTTTGAAGATTGAAAGCAGCCAAACAAATGTATCAGTCTTTTCATCAGTGATGAATGCACATCCAAACATTGTTGTTTTCCAGTGATTGTTTATACCAACAAATGGAGCACATATCAACCCATATTTGTTTGTTCTGTATGTTGTATCAAAGATTAAAACATCACCATAAGCTTTGAAATCTTCAAGAATTTGGGAGTCACGCCAAAAATAGCTCACAACATTATTTTCTTCTCCAAATTTCAATCTATAAAAGAATGAGGGATCTTGATCTGCTCTTTCTTGAAGGGTGTCTAATATATTTTGCATGTCTCCACCTTCAACCATACTCATTTTCACCCTTGATACATAATTAAGGTGATCTCTCTTAGTATGACCTACACATTCTTCTCCTCCAGCTTCATTGCTTATATAATTATAAGCATCCATTGGTTTAATACCACTCTCAATCATGCTCTCAATTAGTTCACCCATTGGAGCTGATATTAGCCTTTCTGATCTTAGATGATGTCGTTGAACTGCTATAACCAATTCATGATTATGCTCCAACTCATGTGTAACAGCTTCGAAATTTCCTTCTTTGTTTTTCTTGAAACGAATATGGGCTTTGCATCCAGTTCTTGTCTCATTTACCTCCCTATCTTTTCTCTTTTTTGCATCAGTTTTACCCAATATGGGTATTTCCACAGAATTTTGTTCACCTGCTATCTTCATTTTACCCTTTGTATGTCCTTCCTTAGAACATCTAAAATAAAACTCATACAATTTATCATTGGTATCTCTTCTCTTTGTTGATTTTCTGACACTGAAACCAACAGATCTTGAATGAGCTTTGTATAACACATATCCCTCATTGTAGTTTGATACTGTATAACTTGCTAGACATTTACTTATGTTTTCATCCTTGTCATATTTGTAATAATCTGCAACAAAAGTATACATATGAAACATATCATAATTTATTTTTGTCAGTAATTACAATATTATAGACAGTAAATAAATATTTTTTAAATTTATAATACTTATGAATTACCATGTCTTAGTCAGGAAATAGATTATTTAAATCAGGAATTACTAAATACTAGTTAGGAAATAAATCATCTCAGTCTTGTTTAGGATTATATTAATCAGGAAACAGGTAATATTGGTCAGTAATAAAATTATATCATTCAGAAATAATAATATTTGTATCTGATTATATGTAGTTCATTGTTCATTATCTTCAGGAATTAGATTATTTTTGTCATTTATTAGATTTGTTTTGTCAGGAATTAAATTTTGTATGTCAGGTATTAAAATGTTTTGATTAGGAATTAATTTGAGTATATCAGAAATTATATTGTATATTTCAGGAATAAAATTGTTTCAATCAGAAATTAAATTGTAACAATTTTATTAATTTAATTTCAGTGACAAAAAATAGTCAAAATATTACTCAAAAAATAGTCAAAAAATTGTTTTAATAAGAAATTAGATTATAATAGTCAGGAATAAAATTATCTCAGTCAGGAAAATAGATAATAAATTACTCAGGACATAAATGATATAGTCAGGTTTAAGATTATTGCATACAAGAATTAAAATTTAAAAAGTAATGACCTTCCTGACTATATCATTTACCAGACATAACATAAACACTCAAAAAACACGTAAAATCATTTACCAGACATAAAATTAATTGAATAAAATGAAATGAATTTACTAGAACAGAGGTTAATTATAAATGAAAAACATATATTTGAAAAGGCATGACCTTCCCTCTTCCAAAATACTGCACCAATTCACGTTCTAAACATTACATATAAGAAAATACAGTGTACAAGAAACTATATTCAGAAAAAAAAAAAAAAAATTATTGCATACAAGAATTAGAATTTGAAAAGTCCTGACCTTCCCTCTTCCAAAACATAAACACTCAAAACACTCAAAAAACGCGTAAAATCATTTACCAGACATTAAATTAATTGAATAAAATTAAATGTATTTACTAGAACAGAGGTTAATTATAAATGAAAAACACATATTTGAAAAGGCATGACCTTCCCTCTTCCAAAACACTATATTAAGAAACCACAGTGTACAAGAAACTATATTCAGAAAAAAAAAATTTAATATAAAACTATAAATTGCTTCAATTTGAATTTTAATTAATTTTATAAGAATATAACTACTGCTACTACAAAAGGTATATTTTTTTCCATATTATGATCATACATTTGTTAGTTTATTTTATTTTGTTTTGTTATGATTTATGTGTTTATTTTTTATTTTTTTTTTTAGATGGCTAATCATATTGCACACCCAATTGATGCCTTAGAAGATGCACATCCAGCACTAGCTATTGAAGAGATATTATGCATGCATATTGATTAGGGGATTTTTATCCACCAAGCGCCGTTTGACAAGTGGACCAACCAGGTTCCGCCACGCGTCCTCCACGGACCACTTAAGACACGCCACGTGTCCACCCATGCCAAATGGGACAACCGGCCATCAAGGCCCATTTCAGTCTAGAAGCCCGATCGGCCCTAGGTTTACCTTAAACCTAGAGAGTTGCACGCTTCCCAAGGCTATAAATACTCGATTAATCCTCATTAATCAAGGGACGGAATAATTAACGGAACAGAGGAGAAACATTACGGAACACACTAATAACCGGCTGATCTCGCTAGCAAAGCAGATTACCTACATTAAATACTCTCACCTAGAGAGACCTTATTACTTTAATTTCTGTATTAATTACTCCTTAATCAGGTACTAACTTGACCGTTGGAGGCGGAGCTCTCAGGAGTCTCCGTTATTTTGCAGGTACAGGCGTCCGGTTCCAGTCTCGGAATTGTAGCTCTCCCGCAGGACATCAGAAAACCCCGAAACATTTGGCGCCGTCTGTGGGGAGAGTACTTCAGAGATGGCATCCAAGTCTGTACCGACCCCAGAAGAGAGGCGTCCCCTAGACGACTCTCAAGTTCAGTCGGACCATGATACCGAAAGTGAATTTGAAGTTGAAACTCATACAGCTCCAGACGGGACCCTAAGGGCCCGCCGTACCCGTCATACTGAAATAAGGGAACGGGAGTATCTTCAAACAGGAAGCGAGCCAGCAGGCGCACCGCTTGCTCGGCAACAGCCGACTGATGGGTCTGCTCCCATCACAAGGAACGAACTCATGACCTTCATGAGGGGATTCAAGGGAGAGATCCAAGAGTTGATCAACAAAAAACCGCCTGCTTCAGTCAAAGAGCAGGCGGCCAAAAAACCTTCCACTTCACTGAAGAGGAAGCCAGTTCAAGGGCGAGAGGCGACTCCCCATCCTAAATCTAAGAAGCGGGAGCCGTCTGCTCTTGATTTCACAAAACTCCGTTATCCTACGGGAAATAGGAAACCGGTTCGTCATATTCAGGCGGACGGGTCAAAGCAAACGTTCACAGATGCTCGGCACCTGCTAGAGCAGAAGAAGAGTGACCGATTATCAGAGTCGGCTTCTACTTCAAATTTTCAGGACAGTTTGCGAAATGCCTCGATGAGGCCAACTCAGTCGTACCATGAGAGTCAGTCAGGCGGCACCTCCCGTCAGTCTGGCTTTCATAGTGCGCAGGCGGTACCAAATTTACCATTTGTGCCGCAACAACAATATTTTATGCAGCCACCTCCATTTGGTGGACCTGCAGCAAAAAACGTCCAACCTATGGACTGGCAGCTACGGCTGCTTAGACTTGGTGAACAGCCGTCGGCCTTCTCCAAGGAAATTACTGAAGCCGCTCAGCCGGCCAAAGTAAAAAATGTTTTAGTAGGCGCCTATGATGGCACTACTAACCCGGAAGACCATCTGATGGCATTCACCAACCTGATGTACCTTCAAGGGTTGGATGATCCCACTTGGTGCAAGTGTTTCCCAGCAACTCTCAAGGGAATTGCACAGCAATGGTTCGGCAACCTGCCGACTGGTTGTGTAAACAGTTTCAGGACGCTTGCTTACTTATTTGCCTCCAACTTTGCAATGAACATCCCTGCGAAGAAAACGACCCTTGATTTGGGAACAATTCAGCAGGGTGAAAAGGAGGGGCTTCGTTCCTACATCAGGCGGTTCAACCTGATGAGAATACAGATTCAAGGGTTACCGGATGAGGTAGCTTATACTGACTTTTTTAGAGGTCTCAAAGACGGGTCTACCTTCAAATTTGATTTAGTTCGAAAAAGGGTGGCGACTCTTCAAGAGGCCTTGATTGAAGCAGAAGCCTATATACAGGCGACTGATCTGTGTACAATGAAACAGTCGGACGGGAAGAGGTTCGACAATAGAGAAGGACGACAGAAACAGTCGTCCAACAAAGATGAAAAAAGAAAAGGGGTCTGGGCGGCTGATTCCTCTAAACAGCCGGCCAAGAAGAAAAAGGAATTCAAACCATACTCCCCAAAGTATGTGTTTAACAAGGATAACCAGTTTATCCTAAAAGAAATAAAGGGACGGCTCTCAATTGAGAAACCGCTCCCCATGAAGGGTTCTGCGAGCAACCGGAACCAAGACAAAATCTGTGCTTATCATGATGACATTGGTCATCACACCAACGACTGCATTAGTCTCATGCGGTACCTAGACCGCTTGGCTGATCAAGGTGATCTTGACACTTATGTCAAGAAATCTACGGGGAATACTTCCTCAAAAAAGCAGTCGGCCAAAAAGAATCAACAGGCCGACAGCTCCGATACAGATGATGCAGTCGTCTACACCATTGCAGGCGGCTTCTCAGGAGGCGGCCCCACTATTAGGGGCAACAAAGATAATATAAGGCGGTTAGATGTAAATTCCGTTCACCAAGAACGACCGTCCAAATATACATTTCCTGAGATTGTCATCACTGAAGAGGATCTAGGAGGAATAAGGGGGCCGCATGACGACCCTCTCGTTATTGAATGTAAAGTGGCCAACCAGAGAGTTGGTCGAATCCTCATAGATACTGGGAGCTCTTCAGATCTCATCAGCAGCAAATGTCTGTCAAAACTGAAATATCAGACGGACTGCATACATCCGGCCTCCCACCCTTTAATAGGGTTTGGAGGAGGAGTCGTCCACCCACTGGGACGAGTTGATCTACCCGTCCGCCTGGGCGAAAAAGGGGAAGGACGACACATGGTAGTCCGATTCCTAGTTGTAGAGGAACTCTCTGCCTACAACATGATTCTGGGTCGCCCAACCCTGAATAGTGCCAAGGCTGTTATAATCCCGTCACTTATGCTGCTTAAGTTTGAAAGGGACAATGGAACAGTCGGCTCCCTAAGGGGAGATCAGAGGATGGCCCGAGAGTGCTATCTCTCGGATGTCAAACCCACTGCTAAGGCCACTGGGTCAAGTGGAGAAAAAACAGACCTTGACAATGTCAAGGAAAGTGCGCCTGTTCAAGAAACAGGCGACAGAAAAAGAAAGGCGTCCCAGACAGAGTCCGCCAGAAAGGCAAGAAAATAGCAATCATTGGCAGAGGACCGGCCGGATGAGTTACGCCCTCAGCCGGCTGGTGAGCATACGGACCTGATATTAGACGACTCCCGCCCTGACCGAACAGTCAAAGTTGGGACGACTGCTCTGAGAAACCTTGGTGATGACTTTCACAACCTGTTGAAAGAATACAAGGACATCTTTGCATTTGAAGTCCATGAAATGCCAGGCATTAGTCCTGATCTGGCAGTACACAAACTCGCTGTGGATCCGAAAAAGAAGCCGGTACGGCAAAAGAAGCGGAACCATGGTGAAGAAAGAGGTCAGGCGGCCGCCGCCGAAGTCAAAAAATTACTTGATGCAGGGTTCATTCGGCAATGTTACTTCCCAGATTGGGTTGCAAATGTGGTACTTGTTAAAAAGCCGAATGGCACCTGGCGAATGTGTGTAGACTACACAGACTTGAACAAGGCGTGCCCCAAAGACAGTTAC